AATTTGAGGGGGATTTGGAGGGATTTGGGGGGGATTTGGGGGGTCCTCAAAAAGTTATGGGTGGTTTTGGGGGGGTTGGGGGGGGTTTGGAGGGATTTGAGGGGATTTGGGGAGGTTTGGGAGGATTTGAGGGAGGTTTGGGGGGGATTTGGGGGGGATTTGGGCAGATTTGGGGGAGATTTGGGGGGATTTGGGGGGATTTGGGAACTTTAGGGGGGATTTGAGGGGGATTGGGGGGGCTGAAGAGGATTTGGGGGGATTTGGGCAGGTTTGGGGGAGGTTTGGGGGGGATTTGGGGGGTCCCCAATAGGTTTGGGAGGGTTTGGGGTGGGTTTTGGGGGGGTCTGGGGGGGATTTGGGGGGATTTGGGGGGGGCCTCAAAAAGTTATGGGGGGGTTTGGGGGATTTGGGGGAGATTTGGGGGAGTTTTTGGGAGGATTTGAGGGGGTTTTGGGAACTTTAGGGGGGAATTTGAGGGGGATTTGGGGGGATTTGGGAGGTTGGGGGGTTTTTGGGGGTCCCGAGGCTCTGGGGATGATATTTTGGGGTGATTTTGGGGTTTTTTGCAGCGTTCACTCGGCCCCCCAGTGCCAGAGCTGCTCCTGGGGGGTTTGGGGGTTCCTGGGGGGTTTTTGGGGTGGTTTTGGGGGTTTTTGGGGTGTTTTTTTGGGTTTTTGGGGGTCCCGAGGCTCTCGGGGTAAGTTTTTGGGGTGATTTTGGGGTTTTTTGCAGCGTTCACTCGGCCCCCCAGTGCCAGAGCTGCTCCCAGCTGAGCTCGTGCCGGGAGTGCCTGAACCAGCACGGCTGCGGCTGGTGCGGCTCCAGCCACAACCCCACCCTGGGCAGGTCTGAATTGGGGCTGGGGGCTTCAATTGGGGCTGGGGGCTTCGGGGAGGTCAGGGGAGTTTGTGGGGGTCTCGAATTTGGGGGGTTTTGGGGGGAATTTTGGGGAATTTTGGTGATTTTGGGTCCTGGAGCTTGAGGATTCCTGAATTCTGGGGGGGATTTGGGGGGATTTGGGGCTTGAATTGGGGCTGGGGGCTTCAATTGGGGCTGGGGGCTTCGGGGGGACCGAGTTTGGGGGGTTTTGGGGGATATTTTGGTGATTTTGGGTCTCGGAGCTTGTGGATTCCTGAATTCTGGGGGGGTTTTGGGGGGGGTCTGGGGGCTTCAATTGGGTCTGGGGGCTTCAGTTGGGGCTGGGGGCTCCAATTGGGGCTGGGGGCTTCGGGGGGCCGAGTTTTGGGGGATTTGGGGGGAATTTTGGTGATTTTGGGTCCTGGAGCCTGAGGATTCCTGAATTCTAGAGGGGTTTTGGGGGGATTCGGGGGGTTGAATTGGGTCTGGGGGCTTCAATTGGGGCTGGGGGCTTCAATTGGGGCTGGGGGTTCGGGGGGCCCGAGTTTTGGGGGATTTGGGGGGAATTTTGGTGATTTTGGGTCCTGGAGCCTGAGGATTCCTGAATTCTAGAGGGGTTTTAGGGGGGTCTGGGGGCTCCAATTGGGTCTGGGGGCTTCAATTGGGGCTGGGGGCTTTGGGGGCTTCGGGGGAATTTGGGGGGGTCTCGAATTTGGGGGGTTTTGGGGGGAATTTTGGTGATTTTGGGTCCTGGAGCCTCAGGATTCCTGAATTCTAGAGGAGTTTTGGGGGGGTTCTGGGGGTTGAATTGGGTCTGGGGGCTTCAATTGGGTCTGGGGGCTCCAATTGGGTCTGGGGGCTTCAATTGGGTCTGGGGGCTCCAATTGGGTCTGGGGGCTCCAATTGGGTCTGGGGGCTTCGGGGGGGACCGAGTTTTGGGGGGTTTTGGGGGGAATTTTGGTGATTTTGGGTCCTGGAGCCTGAGGATTCCTGAATTCTGGGGGGGTTTTGGGGGGCTCTGGGGGTTTGAATTGGGGCTGGGGGCTTCAATTGGGGCTGGGGGCTTCGGGGGGGACCGAGTTTTGGGGGGTTTTGGGGGGTTTTGGATCCTGGAGCCTGAGGATTCCTGAATTCTAGAGGGGTTTGGGAGGGATTTGGGGGCTTTAATTGGGTCTGGGGGCTTCAATTGAGTCTGGGGGCTTCGGGGAGTCTTTTTTGGGCTGATTTTGTGGCATTTTGGGGTTTTTTTGGGGCTGATTTTGGGGTATTTTTTTGGCTGATTTGGGTTTTTTTGGGGGGCTGATTTTGGGGTTTTTTTGGGGCTGATTTTGGGGGTTTTTTAGGGGGTGATTTTGGGGTTTTTTCGGGCTGATTTTGGGACTTTTTTGGGCTGATTTGGGGGTTTTTTTGGGCTGATTTTGGGTTTTTTTTGGCTGATTTTGGGACTTTTTTGGGCTGATTTTGGGACCTTTTTTTTTTTGCTGATTTGGGGTTTCTTTGGGGCTGATTTTGGGGTTTTTTTGGCTGATTTTGTAGCTACTTTGGGGCCCATTTTGATTTTGGGGTTTTTTTGGGGCTGATTTTGGGGTTTTTTTCTGGGCTGATTTTGGGGCTGATTTTGGGGTTTTTTGGGGTTGATTTTGGGTTTTTTTGGGGCTGATTTTGAGGTTTTTTTGGGGCTGATTTTGGGCTTTTTATGGGCTGATTTTGTAGCTTTTTTGGGCTGATTTTGGGGTTTTTTTTTGACGATTTTGAGTTTTTTTGCCCCAATTCTGCCATTTTCACCCTCATTTTGGAGCTTTTTCTGACCTAATTTCAATTTTTTTTCCCTTTTTTCCCCCGTTTTCCCACCCAAAAATTCCCAAAATTCCCAAATTTCCCAAATTTCCCAAATTTCCCCAAATTCCCAAATTTCCCAAATTTCCCAAAATTCCCAAATTTCCCCAAAATTCCCAAATTTTCCCTCCAGCTGCTTCGAGGGCGACTTCGCGGGGCCCCGACACTTCCCCAACTGCTCCGCGGCCCTGAGTGACCAGAGTGACCACCGGAGTGACCACAGTGACCACATGAGTGACCACAGTGACCACATGAGTGACCACCTGAGTGACCACAGTGACCACATGAGTGACCACAGTGACCACATGAGTGACCACATGAGTGACCACATGAGTGACCACATGAGTGACCACAGTGACCACCTGAGTGACCACCAGAGTGACCACCTGAGTGACCACATGAGTGACCACCAGAGTGACCACATGAGTGACCACCTGAGTGACCAGAGTGAGCACAGACACCAGCTGAGTGACCACAGTGACCACATGAGTGACCACATGAGTGATCACAGTGACCACCTGAGTGACCACAGTGACCACAGTGACCACCTGAGTGACCACAGTGACCACAGTGACCACATGAGTGACCACCTGAGTGACCAGAGTGACCACATGAGTGACCAGAGTGACCACTGGAGTGACCACAGTGACCACATGAGTGACCAGAGTGACCACCTGAGTGACCACAGTGACCATCTGAGTGACCACCTGAGTGACCGCCTGAGTGACCACATGAGTGACCGCCTGAGTGACCACCGGAGTGACCACTGGAGTGACCACATGAGTGACCAGAGTGACCACAGTGACCACAGTGACCACAGTGACCACATGAGTGACCACCTGAGTGACCACAGTGACCACCGGAGTGACCAGAGTGACCACCGGAGTGACCAGAGTGACCACCTGAGTGACCACAGTGACCACAGTGACCAGAGTGACCACATGAGTGACCACAGTGACCGCCGGAGTGACCACAACAGTGACCACAGTGACCACATGAGTGACCACATGAGTGACCACCTGAGTGACCACCTGAGTGACCACATGAGTGACCACAGTGACCACTGGAGTGACCAGAGTGACCACCTGAGTGACCACAGTGACCACCTGAGTGACCAGAGTGACCACAGTGACCACTGGAGTGACCACCTGAGTGACCACCTGAGTGATCACTGGAGCTACCAGAGTGACCAGAGTGACCAGCAGGGTGGCCATGGTGGCCAGCAGGGTGGCCAGCAGGATGACCACCAAAGTGACCAGCAGAGTGACCACCACGATAAGCATCAGGGTGACCAGCAGAGTGCCCAGCAGAATGACCAGCAGAGTGACCACCAGGGTGACCAGCAGGATGGTCAGCAGAGTGACCACCAGAATGACCAGCAGAATGACCACCAGTTTGCCCAGCAGAATGACCATCTGAATGACCACCACACTGACCAGCAGAGTGACCACGGGAGTGCCCAGCAGAATGACCAGCAGAATGACCACCAGAGTGACCACCAGAGTGACCACCAGGCTGACCACCAGAGAGACCAGCTGAGTGACCACCAGGCTGCCCACCACACTGACCACCAGAATGACCATCAGAATGACCATCAGAATGACCACCAGGCTGTCCAACAGAGTGACCAGCAGGGTGACCATGAGAATGACCACCAGAATGACCATCAGAATGACCAGCAGGTTGACCACCAGGCGGACCAGCAGAATGACCATCAGAATGCCCACCTGAATAACCATCAGAATGACCACCAGAATGACCACCACACTGACCACCAGGCTGCCCAGCAGGGTGCCCACCAGAATGACCACCAGAATAACCATCAGAATGACCATCAGAATGATCAGCAGGATGACCACCAGAGTGACCAGCAGAGTGACCAGCCGAATGACCACCAGGCTGACCATCAGAATGACCTCCAGAATGCCCACCAGGCTGACCACCTGAATGACCACCAAAGTGACCAGCAGGGCACCCAGCAGAATGACCACCAGGCTGACCATCAGAATGCCCACCAGGCTGCCCAGCGGAATGCCCAGCAGAGTGACCATCAGGATGACCACCAGGCTGACCACCAGAGTGCCCACCTGAGTGACCAGCAGGGTGGTCAGCAGAATGACCATCAGAATGACCACCAGGGTGCCCAGCAGAATGACCACCAGAATAACCACCAGGCTGCCCAGCAGAGTGCCCAGCAGAATGACCAACAGAATGACCATCTGAATGACCACCAGAGTGCCCACCAGAATGACCACCAGAGTGACCAGCAGGGTGCCCAGCAGGGCACCCACCACATTGACCAGCAGAATGACCACCAGAATAACCATCAGAATGCCCACCAGGCTGACCAGCAGGGTGGTCAGCAGAGTGACCATCAGAGTGACCACCAGGGTGGTCAGCAGAGTGACCACCTGAGTGACCATCAGAGTGCCCACCGCTGGTGGTACGGGTGGTGCCCGCTGGTGGACGAGTGCGCCCTGGGCCTGGCGCGGTGCCACCCGCGGGCGCGGTGCCACGACAGCCCCGGCGGGTTCCAGTGCCGCTGCCCGCGCGGCTTCCGCGGCGACGGCGTGGCCGCCTGCGAGCCCACGTGAGAAAATGGGGGAAAAACGGGGGAAATTGGGAAAAAACAAAAAAAAAATGGTGAAAATTGAGTGAAAAACGGCCGAGAAATGGGGAAAAATGGGGGAAACTGGGGGAGAAACGGCCGAGAAATGGGGAAAAACAGAAAAAAAAGGGGGGAAATCAGGGGAAAAATGGCTGAAAAATTAGGAAAAACAAAAAAAAAGGTGAAAATTGGGGAAGAAATGGGGAAAAATGGGGAAAAACAGGAAAAAAATGGAGGAAATCAGGGGAGAAATGGCCGAGAAATGGGGAAAAAAAAAATGGGGGAAATCGGGGGAGAAACGGCCGAGAAATGGGGAAAAACAAAATGGGGGAAATCGGGGTAGAAATGGGAAAAACAAAAAAAATGAGGGAAAATCGGGTGAGAAATGGGAAAAAAAAAACAAAAAAAAAGGTGAAAATTGGGGGAGAAATGGGGAAAAACAGAAAAAAAAGGAGGGAAATCGTGTGAGAAACGGGGAAAAAAAAGGGTGGAAATCGGGTGAGAAACGGCCGAGAAATGGGGAAAAATGGGGGAAAACAGGAAAAAAATGGGGGAAATCGGGAGAGAAACAGCCAAGAAATGGGGAAAACAAAAAAAAGGGGGAAATTGGGCCAGAAATGGGGAAAAACAAAACAAAAATGGGGAAATTGGGGTCACTGCCCTGAGAGCCCCGGCGGGTTCCAGTGCCGCTGCCCCCGCGGCTTCCGCGGCGACGGCGTGGCCACCTGCGAGCCCACGTGAGGGAAATGGGGAAAAAACGGGAAAAATGGGAAAAAACGGGGAAAAATGGTGAAAAAATGGGGAAAAACAAAAAAAATGGGGAAAAACAAAAAAAAATGGTGAAAATCGGGGGAGAAATGGCTGAGAAATGGGGAAAAATGGGGAAAAAGGGATGGAAATCGGGAGAAATGGGGAAAAATGGGAGAGAAGTAGGGAAAATTTGGGAAAAAACAAAATAAAGAGGACGAAAATCAGGCCAGAAATGGGGAAAAACAAAATAAAAAGGGTAGAAATCGGGCCAGAAATGGGGAAAAAAGGGTAAAAATTGGGTGAGAAATGGTCAAGTTTTAAAGGTGCAGAAATCCAAATTTTGTTTGGTTTTCTTTTTTTTATTCTAAGTGCCCAAAATTCAGATTATTTTGTAGATTTGAGTTTTTTTGAGTGCAGAAATCCAAATTTTGTTGTTTTCTTTTTATTCTAAGTGCCCAAAATTCACTTTTTTTTATGGATTTGGGTTTTTTTGGGTGCAGAAATCTGAATTTTGGGTCTCTTTTTTCCCCCCAGGTGTTTGTCCGACTGCGGCCACGGCTTCTGCTCGGGGCCCCCCAACTTCACCTGCGTTTGTCACCTGGGCTGGACCAGCCCCAAACCCCAAAATTCCCAAAATTCCTCCCAGAATTCCCAAAATTCCAGCGCGGAGCTGCCCCAGTGCTCCGTGGACTGCGGCTGCAACTTCCACAGTTCCTGCGAGAGGGACGGCCCCGGCCACTGCGACCGCTGCCAGAGTGAGCCCCAAAACCCCCAAATTCACCCCAAAAATACCAACAATTCACCCCAAAAATACACCCCAAAATTAAAAAAAAATCAGCCCAAAAATCCCAAAAATTCAGCCCAAAACCCCCCAAATTCAGCCCAAAAATCCCAAAAACCCACCCCAAAAATAAAAAAAAAATCACCCTAAAAATCCCAAAAATTCAGCCCAAAAATCCCAAAAATTCACCCTAAAAATCCCAAAAATTCACCCCAAAAATCCACCCCAAAATCCCCCTAATTCACCCCAAATCCAGCGGCTGCAACTTCCACAGTTCCTGCGAGAGGGGCGGCCCCGGGCACTGCGACCGCTGCCAGAGTGAGCCCCAAAACCCCCCAAATTCACCCCAAAAAATCCAAAAAATTCAGCCCAAAAATCCCAAAAATCCACCCCAAAATTCCAAAAAAAAATCACCCTAAAAATCCCAAAAATTCAGCCCAAAAATTCCAAAAATTCAGCCCAAAATTACCAAAAATTTACCCCAAAAATCCAAAAAATTCAGCCCAAAAATCCCAAAAACCCACCCCAAAAATAAAAAAAAAATCACCCTAAAAATCCCAAAAATTCAGCCCAAAAATCCCAAAAATTCACCCTAAAAATACCAAAAATCCACCCCAAAAATCCACCCCAAAATCCCCCAAATCCACCCCAAATCCAGCGGCTGCAACTTCCACAGTTCCTGCGAGAGGGGCGGCCCCGGGCACTGCGACCGCTGCCAGAGTGAGCCCCAAAACCCCCAAATTCACCCCAAAAATACCAACAATTCACCCCAAAAATCACCCCAAAATTCAAAAAAAAATCACCCCAAAAATACCAAAAATTCAGCCCAAAAATACCAAAAATTCACCCCAAAAATCCCAAAAATTCAGCCCAAAAATCCCAAAAACCCACCCCAAAAATAAAAAAAAAAATCACCCTAAAAATCCCAAAAATTCAGCCCAAAAATCCCAAAAATTCACCCCAAAAATCCACCCCAAAAATCCACCCCAAAATCCCCCAAATCCACCCCAAATCCGGCGGCTGCAACTTCCACAGTTCCTGCGAGAGGGGCGGCCCCGGGCACTGCGACCGCTGCCAGAGTGAGCCCCAAAACCCCCCAGATTCACCCCAAAAATACACCCCAAAATGAAAAAAAAAATCACCCCAAAAATCCCAAAAATTCACCCCAAAATTAAAAAAAAAATCACCCCAAAAATCCCAAAAATTCACCCCAAAAATAAAAAAAAAATCACCCTAAAAATCCCAAAAATTCAGCCCAAAAATCCCAAAAATTCACCCTAAAAATACCAAAAATTCACCCCAAAAATACCAACAACTCACCCCAAAAATACACCCCAAAATTCCACCCCAAAATCCCCCAAATCCACCCCAAATCCGGCGGCTGCAACTTCCACAGTTCCTGCGAGAGGGGCGGCCCCGGCCACTGCGACCGCTGCCAGAGTGAGCCCCAAAACCCCCCAAATTCACCCCAAAAATACACCCCAAAATTCCAAAAAAAATCACCCCAGAAATACCAAAAATTCAGCCCAAAAATACCAAAAATTCAGCCCAAATATCCCAAAAATTCACCCTAAAAATCCCAAAAACTCACCCCAAAATTCAAAAAAAATCACTCTATAAATACAAAAAAATTCACCCCAAAGATTTACCCCAAAACCTCCCAAATTCACCCCAAAAATCCACTCCAAAACCCCCCCAAATTCAGCCCAAAAATCCACCCAAAAATCCCAAAAAATTCACCCCAAAACCCCCAAAAATTCACCCCCAAAATTGACTCTGGGAGGGCGAAAATCCAGCAGGGAAATCGCCCCAAAAAACACCAAATTTACCCCCCAGGAAGCCCAAATTTACCCCAAAATCACCCCAAATTCACCCCAAAACCATCTCAGGAACCTCAAAAACCTGGGAGCCCAAATTGACCCCAAAATCCCCCAAACTGACCCCAAAATCCCCCAAATTCACCCCAAATCCGGCGGCTGCAACTTCCACAGCTCCTGCGAGAGGGGCGGCCCCGGCCACTGCGACCGCTGCCAGAGTGAGCCCCAAAACCCCCAAATTCACCCCAAAAATACCAACAATTCACCCCAAAAATACACCCCAAAAATCCAAAAAAAATCACCCCAAAAATACCAAAAATTCAGCCCAAAAATACCAAAAATTCAGCCCAAAATTCAAATAAATTCACTCTATAAAGACAAATTCACCCCAAAATCCCAAAAAAACTCAGCCCAAAAATCCCAAAAATTCAGCCCAAAAATCCACCCCAAAATCCCCCAAATTCACCCCAAATCCGGCGGCTGCAACTTCCACAGTTCCTGCGAGAGGGGCGGCCCCGGCCACTGCGACCGCTGCCAGAGTGAGCCCCAAAACCCCCAAATTCACCCCAAAAATACACCCCAAAATTCAAAAAAAATCACCCCAAAAACCCCAAAAATTCAGCCCAAAAATACCAAAAATTCAGCCTAAAAATACCAAAAATTCAGCCTAAAAATACCAAAAATTCACCCTAAAAATCAAAAAAATTCAGCCCAAAATTCCAAAAAATTCACTCTATAAATACAGAAAAATTCACCCCAAAAATCCCCAAAAATTCACCCCAAAGATCCACCCCAAAATCCCCCAAATCCACCCCAAAAATTCACCCCAAAACCCCTCAAATTCAGCCCAAAAATCCCAAAAATTCACCCCAAAATTCCAAAAAATTCACCCCAAAAATCAAAAAAATTCACTCTATAAATACAAAAAAATTCACCCAAAAATTCCAACAATTCACCCCAAAAATACCAACAATTCACCCCAAAAACCCACCCCAAAAATCCACCCCAAAATCCCCCAAATTCACCCCAAATCCGGCGGCTGCAACTTCCACAGTTCCTGCGAGAGGGGCGGCCCCGGCCACTGCGACCGCTGCCAGAGTGAGCCCCAAAACCCCCCAAATTCACCCCAAAAATACCAACAATTCACCCCAAAAATCCCAAAAATCCACCCCAAAATTCCAAAAAAAAATCACCCTAAAAATCCCAAAAATTCAGCCCCAAAATCCCAAAAATTCAGACCAAAAATACCAAAAATTCAGCCCAAAAATCCTAAAAATTCACCCCAAAATTCAAAAAAAAATCACTCTATAAATACCAAAAAATTCACCCCAAAATTCCAAAAAAATTCACCCCAAAAATCCCAAAAATTCACCCTAAAAATCCCAAGAATTCACCCCAAAAATCCCAAAAATTCACCCCAAAATTCCAAAAAATTCACTCTGTAAATACAAAATAATTCACCCCAAAAATCCCAAACATTCACCCCAAAAATCCACCCCCAAAACCCCCCAAATTCAGCCCAAAAACCCCCCAAAAATTCACCCCAAAATTGACTCCGGGAGGGTGAAAATCCAGCAGGGAAATCACCCCAAAATCGCCCCAAAAAACCCCAAATTTACCCCCCAGGAATCCCAAAATCACCCCAAATTCACCCCAAAATCATCTCAGGAACCTCAAAAACCTGGGAGCCCAAATTGACCCCAAAATCCCCCAAATTGACCCCAAAATCCCCCTAATTCACCCCAAATCCAGCAGCTGCAACTTCCACAGTTCCTGCGAGAGGGGCGGCCCCGGCCACTGCGACCGCTGCCAGAGTGAGCCCCAAAACCCCCAAATTCACCCCAAAAATACACCCCAGAAATAACAAAAATTCACCCCAAAAATTCACCCCAAAACCCCCCAAATTCAGCCCAAAAATCCCAAAAATTCACCCCAAAAATCCCAAAAATTCACCCTAAAAATCCCAAAAATTCACCCCAAAACCCCCCAGATTCACCCCAAAAATACCAACAATTCACCCCAAAAATACACCCCAGAAATACCAAAAACTCATTCCAAAAATCCCAAAAATTCACCTTAAAAATCCCAAAAATTCACCCCAAAAATCCACCCCAAAACCCCCCAAATTCACCCCAAATCCGGCGGCTGCAACTTCCACAGTTCCTGCGAGAGGGGCGGCCCCGGGCACTGCGACCGCTGCCAGAGTGAGCCCCAAAACCCCCCGAATTCACCCCAAAAATACCAACAATTCACCCCAAAAATCCACCCCAAAATTAAAAAAAAAATCACCCCAAAAATCCCCAAAAATTCAGCCCAAAAATACCAAAAATTCACCCCCAAACCCCCCAAATTCAGCCCAAAAATACACCCCAGAAATAACAAAAACTCACCCCCAAATTCAGCCCAAAAATCCCAAAAATTCACCCCAAAAATCCCAAAAAGTTCACCCCAAAGATTCACCCCAAAAATCCCAAAAAATTCACCCCAAAAACCCCAAAACTTCACCCCAAAATTGACTCCGGGAGGGTGAAAATCCAGCTGGGAAATTGCCCCAAAAAACCCCAAATTTACCCCCCAGGAAGCCCAAAATTACCCCAAAATCACCCCAAAATCATCTCAAGAACCTCAAAATCCTGGGAGCCCAAATTGACCCCAAAATCCCCCAAACTGACCCCAAAATCCCCCAAATCCACCCCAAATCTGGCGGCTGCAACTTCCACAGTTCCTGCGAGAGGGGCGGCCCCGGCCACTGCGACCGCTGCCAGAGTGAGCCCCAAAACCCCCCAAATTCACCCCAAAAATACACCCCAAAATTAAAAAAAAATCACCCCAAAAATCCCAGAAATTCACCTTAAAAATCCCAAAAATTCACCCCCAAAACCCCCAAATTCAGCCCAAAAATACAAAAAATTCACCCCAAAAATTCACCCCAAAAATCAAAAAAATTCACTCCATAAATACAAAATAATTCACCCCAAAATTCCAAAAAAAAATCACCCCAAAAATCCCAAAAATTCACCCCCAAAATTGACTCCGGGAGGGTGAAAATCCAGCAGGGAAATCGCCCCAAAAAACAACAAATTTATCCCCCAGGAAGCCCAAATTTACCCCAAAATCACCCCAAATTCACCCTAAAACCCCCCAAATTCAGCCCAAAAATTCACCCCAAAAATCCAAAAAAATTCACCCCAAAAATACCAAAAATTCAGCCCAAAACCCCCCGCATTCACCCCAAAAATACACCCCAAAATTCCAAAAAAATTCAGCCCAAAAATCCCAAAAATTCAGCCGAAAAATCCCAAAAATTCAGCCCAAAACCCCCCAAATTCAGCCCAAAAATACCAACAATTCACCCCAAAAATACACCCCAAAAATCCACCCCAAAAATCCACCCGAAAAAATCCACCCCAAAACCCCCCAAATTCACCCCAAATCCGGCGGCTGCAACTTCCACAGTTCCTGCGAGAGGGGCGGCCCCGGGCACTGCGACCGCTGCCAGAGTGAGCCCCAAAACCCCCAAATTCAGCCCAAAAATACACCCCAGAAATAACAAAAATTCACCCCAAAAATCCCAAAAATTCAGCCCAAAAATCCTCCCCAAAACCCCCCCAAAAATACACCCCAGAAATCACAAATATTCACCCCAAAAATGCCAAAAAATTCACCCCAAAAATCCTCCCCAAAACCCCCCCAAATTCACCCCAAAAATCCACCCCAAAATTCCAAAAAATTAACGCCATAAATACAAAATAATTCACCCCAAAATTCCAAAACAATTCACCCCAAAAATCCCAAAAAATTCACCCCAAAGACTCACCCCAAAAATCCCAAAAATGCACCCCAAAATCCTCCTTTTCCCCATTTTAACCCCATTTTCCACATTTTCCCATTTTTACCCATTTTCTCCCATTTTAACCCAATTTCCTCCCATTTAAACCCAATTTTCTCCCATTTTAACCCCATTTTTCCTCCTTTTTTTTTCTTTTTTCCCCATTTTTTCCCATTTTAACCCATTTTTCCCCATTTTAACCCCATTTTAACCCCGTTTTTCCCCATTTTAACCCCATTTTAATGCCATTTTTTGCCGTTTTTTCACGTTTTTGCCATTTTAACCGATTCCTGCTGTTTTTGCCCCAGACTGGACGGAGGGCCCGCGCTGCCAGCGCTGCCGCCCGGGCAGAGGCTCCCAAATCCCCATTTTAACCCCATTTAACCCCATTTTTTGGCCGTTTTTCCCCGTTTTTCCCCATTTTTTTGCCGTTTTTTGCCGTTTTTTCACGTTTTTTGCCATTTTAACCGATTCCTGCCGTTTTTCCCCCAGACTGGACGGAGGGCCCGCGCTGCCAGCGCTGCCGCCCGGGCAGAGGCTCCCAAATCCCCATTTTAACCCCATTTAACCCCGTTTTTCCCCATTTTAACCCCATTTTTTGGCCGTTTTTCCCCATTTTTTTGCCGTTTTTTCGCGTTTTTCCCCATTTTAACCGATTCCTGCTGTTTTTCCCCCAGACTGGACGGAGGGCCCGCAGTGCCAGCGCTGCCGCCCGGGCAGAGGCTCCCAAATCCCCATTTTAACCCCATTTAACCCCGTTTTTTTGCCATTTTTCCCCATTTTTTTGCTATTTTTTGCCGTTTTTTCGCGTTTTTCGCCATTTTAACCGATTCCTGCCGTTTTTCCCCAGACTGGACGGAGGGCCCGCGCTGCCAGCGCTGCCGCCCGGCCAGAGGCTCCCAAATCCCCATTTTAACCCCATTTTAACCCCATTTTAACCCATTTTAACCCCATTTTAATGCCATTTTTTGCCATTTTTTCGCGTTTTTCGCCATTTTAACCGATTCCTGCCGTTTTTCCCCAGACTGGACGGAGGGCCCGCGCTGCCAGCGCTGCCGCCCGGGCAGAGGCTCCCAAATCCCCATTTTAACCCCATTTAACCCCATTTAACCCCATTTTTCCCCATTTTTTTGCCGTTTTTTGCCGTTTCTTCGCGTTTTTCGCCATTTTAACCGATTCCTGCCGTTTTTGCCCCAGACTGGACGGAGGGCCCGCGCTGCCAGCGCTGCCGCCCGGCCAGAGGCTCCTAAATCCCCATTGTAACCCCATTTAACCCCATTTAACCCTGTTTTTCCCCATTTTTTTGCCATTTTTTGCCGTTTTTTCGCGTTTTTTGCCATTTTAACCGATTCCTGCTGTTTTTCCCCCAGACTGGACGGAGGGCCCGCGCTGCCAGCGCTGCCGCCCGGGCAGAGGCTCCCAAATCCCCATTTTAACCCCGTTTTTCCCCATTTTAATGCCATTTTTTGCCGTTTTTTCGCGTTTTTTGCCATTTTAACCGATTCCTGCTGTTTTTGCCCCAGACTGGACGGAGGGCCCGCAGTGCCCATGGGCAGAGGCTCCCAAATCCCCATTTTACCCCATTTTAACCCAATTTTTCCCCATTTTTTTGCCATTTTTCCCCATTTAAACCCCGTTTTTTCGCGTTTTTCGCCATTTTAACCCCGTTTTTTCGCGTTTTTCGCCATTTTAACCGATTCCTGCTGTTTTTCCCCCAGACTGGACGGAGGGCCCGCGGTGCCAATGGGCAGAGGCTCCCAAATCCCCATTTTAACCCCATTTTTTGGCCGTTTTCCCCCATTTTAACCCCATTTTTTCGCCGTTTTTTGCCGTTTTTTTCGCGTTTTTCCCCATTTAAACCCCGTTTTTTCGCGTTTTTTGCCATTTTAACCGATTCCTGCCGTTTTTCCCCCAGACTGGACGGAGGGCCCGCGGTGCCAGCGCTGCCGCCCGGGCAGAGGCTCCCAAATCCCCATTTTAACCCCATTTTAACCCCATTTAACCCCATTTTTTGGCCATTTTTCCCCATTTTAATGCCGTTTTTTTCCGTTTTTTCACATTTTTTGCCATTTTAACCGATTCCTGCCGTTTTTCCCCCAGACTGGACGGAGGGCCCGCGCTGCCAGCGCTGCCGCCCGGGCAGTTTCGGCCCCGGGGGGCTCGGGGGGTGCCGCCCCTGCAGCTGCCACGGCCACGGGGACCCCGAGCGCGGCTTTTGTCACCGGAGCACCGGGGAGTGTCACTGCCGCGCCCCGACCGCCGGGCCCCGCTGCGAGCGCTGCGCACACGGGCACTACGGAGACCCCAGGTGAGGGCAGGGAGAAAAAAATCCTGCACAAAATGGGCAAAAAGCAAAAAAACATGGTCAAAATGGGCAAAAAGCAAAAAATTCCAGGTGAAAATAGCCAAAAATACAAAAAATACTGGTCAGAATAGCCAAAAATACAAAAAATACAAAAAATCACGGTCGAAATCGCCAAAAATACAAAAAATTACGGTCAAAATGGATAAAAAACAAAAATAAACCGGTCAAAATGGCCAAAAAGCAAAAAATTCCGGTCAAAATGGCCAAAAATCAAAAAATTCCAGGTGAAAATAGCCAAAAATACAAAAAATACAAAAAAACACAGTCAAAATGGATAAAAATACAAAAAAACACGGTCAAAATGGCCAAAAATACAAAGAAATACAAAAAAAACCTTGTCAAAATAGCAAAAAATACAAAAAATACAAAAATACCCGGTCAAATCAAAAAAAGATCCCCAAAAATCCCCCAAAAATCTGAAAAAAAAACCCCAAAGAAATTCCCTAAAATAAACCCCCAAAAAATCCCAAGAAAATCACCAAAAAAAAAAAAAATCCGAAAAAAAATCTCAAAAAAATCAGCAAAAAATCCCCCAAAATTGAGAAAAAAAATCTGAAAAAAATCTCAAAAAATCAGAAAAAAATCCACAAAAAATCTCTAAAAATATGCTAAAAAATCCCTAAAAAATAAAAAAAAATCCCAAGAAAATCACCAAATTGTAAAAAAAAAAATCAGAAAAAAAATCCGAAAAAAATCAGCAAAAAATCCCCCAAAATTGAGAAAAAAATCTGAAAAAAGTCTCAAAAAATCCACAAAAAATCTCTAAAAATATGATAAAAAATCCCTAAAAAATAAAAAAAAAATCCCAAGAAAATCACCAAAAATCAGAAAAAATTCAGAAAAAAATCCCAAAAAATCCTTTAAAAATCTGAAAAAAATCTCTAAAAAATCCCCTAAATAAACCCGAAAAAAATCCGAAGAAAATCACCAAAATCAGAAAAAAATCCGAAAAAAAATCCGAAAAAACCTCAAAAAAACCTCAAAAAAATCAGAAAAAAAATCGTAGAAAAATCCCTAAAAAATCTGAAAATAATCTCTAAAAAATCCCCTAAATAAACCCCAAAAAAATCCCAAGAAAATCACCAAAATCAGAAAGAAATCAGAAAAAAATCCCCAAAAAATCTCCAAAAAATCTCAAAAAAATCAGAAAAAAATCGCAAAAAAATCCCTAAAAAATCAGAAAAAAATCCGAAAAAAATCCCTAAAAAATCTGAAAAAAATCTGTAAAAAATCCCCTAAATAGAGCCCCAAAAAAACCTCCAAAAAAGCCCCAAAATTTAGATATTTTTACCAAAATCCCATTTTTTTTCCCCCGGAACGGCGGTCGCTGCCTGCGGCGCTGCCTCGGGCGCCGCCTGCTGGATTTGGGCTCGGCGGCCAAAAAACCCCCAAATGCCCTAAAATAATCCCCGAAAAAATCAGAAAAAATAGAGAAAAAAAGGCAAAAAAAATCCCAAAAATTCAAAAAAAAAAATCTGAATAAAATTGCCAAAAAATCAAAAAAAAACCCCACAAAAAAAAATCGCAAAAAAATCACAAAAAAATCACAAAAATAATCCGGAAAAATCAGAAAAAAAGTTTGGAAAAAAATCACAAAAAACCACAAAAAAATCAGCAAAAAAAATCACAAAAATTCAGAAAAAAAAATCCGAAAAAATCCCTAAAAATCAGAAAAAAATCCCCCAAAATCCCCTAAATAACCCAAAAAAATTACCAAGAAAATCACCAAAAATCCGAAAAAAAATCAGAAAAAAATCCCCAAAAAATCTTAAAAAAATCAGAAAAAAGATCCCAAAAAATCCCCCAAAATTGAGATAAAAATCCAAAAAAAATCCAAAAAAAATCCCCAAAAAATCTCAAAAAAATCAGAAAAAATTGCAAAAAAATCCCTAAAAAATCTGAAAAAAATATGTAAAAAATCCCCTAAATAGACCCTCAAAAAATCCCCCAAAATGTTGATTTTTTTTCCGGAAATGTTCATTTTTTCCCCCAAAATGTTGATTTTTTTTTCCCCAGGAACGGGGGTCGCTGCCTGCAGCGCTGCCTCGGGCGCCGCCTGCTGGACGTGCGCGCCGCGGGGGGGGCGGGGCTGGATTTGGGCTCGCGGGGGGCGGGGCCGGGCGAGCCGCCCCTCCCCCACTGCCTCTGGCTGCTCTCGGTGACGGGGGGACCCCGAACCTGCCCCAAAATCGGCCCGGGGTGCCCCAAAATCGGCCTCAGCCTCAGCCCCGACACCGACCTGCCCTGCCAGGTACCCAAATTTGGGATTTTGGGTGAAAAATTGGGGTTTTGGGTGAGAAAAATGGGATTTTTGGAGAGAAAAATGGGATTTTGGGTGAGAAAAATGGGATTTTACATGAGAAAAATGGGATTTTTGGTAAGAAAATGGGATTTTGGAGGGTAAAATTGGGATTTTGGGAGAGAAAAGTGGGATTTTTGGAGAGAAAGTGGGGGTTTTGGAGAGAAAATGGGGATTTGGGGGGCAAAATTGGGATTTTGGGGCAAAAAATTGGGATTCTGGGGGAAAATTGTTCTCAGCCTGAGCCCCGAGCAGGAGCAGCCCTGCCAGGTATGGAATTTGGGATTTTGGGACAAAAAATGGGATTTTCCGAGGAAAAATGGGGTTTTGGGGAAGAAAATTGGGGATTTAGTGGGGCTTTAGGGGGGAAATTTGGGATTTTGGGTCCAAAATTGGGGTTTTGGGGGTTTGGGCTGCTCTCGGTGACGGGGGGACCCCGGCCCTGCCCCCAGCCCGGCCCGGGGTGCCCCAAAATCGGCCTCAGCCTCAGCCCCGACACCGACCTGCCCTGCCAGGTACCGAGCGGGTACCCCAAATTGGGGTTTTGGGGCGAAAAATTGGGATTTTGGTGAGAAAAATGGGATTTTTGGTAAGAAAATGGGATTTTGGGAGAGAAAAATGGGGGTTTTGGTGAGAAAAATGGGATTTTTGGAGAGAAAATGGGGTTTTGGAGGGTAAAATTGGGATTTTTGGAGAGAAAACGGGGGTTTTGGAGAGAAAAATGGGGTTTTTTGTAGAGAAAAATGGGACTTTTGGAGAGAAAATGGGGGTTTTGGAGAGAAAAATGGGATTTTTGAAGAGAAAATGGGGGTTTTGGGGAGAAAAATAGGGTTTTGGAGAGAAAAATGGGATTTTTGGAGAGAAAATGGGGATTTTTGGAGAGAAAATGGGGGTTTTGGGGAGAAAAATGGGATTTTTGGAGAGAAAATGGGGGTTTTAGAGGGGAAAATGGGATTTTAGAGGGTAAAATTGGGAGTTTGGGAGAGAAAAGTGGGATTTTGGGGGGAAAATGGGAATTTGGGGGAAAAAATGGGATTTTGGGAGAGAAAATGGGATTTTTGGAGAAAAAATGGGGATTTTAGAGGGGAAAATGGGATTTTGGGGGGCAAAATTGGGATTTTGAGTGAAAATTGGGGATTTAGTGGGGTTTTAGGGGAAGAAATTGGGAACTTGGGGGAGAAATTGGGATTTTGGGGGGAAAAATGGGGATTTGAAGGAAAAATTGGGATTTTTGGAGAGAAAATGGGGATTTTAGAGGGGAAAATGGGATTTTGGGGGGCAAAATTGGGATTTTGAGGGAAACTTGGGGATTTAGTGGGGTTTTAGGGGAAGAAATTTGGAATTTGGAGAGGAAATTGGGATTTTGGGGGGGGAAAGGGCATTTTGGGGCAAAAAAAATAAATTTTGGGGAAAATATGGGATTTTGGGGGAAAAATTGAGATTGGGGGGAGAAAATTGAGGATTTGGGGAGGTTTGGAGGGGGAAAATTGGGATTTTTTGGTGGTTTAGGTGGGTTTGAAGGGGATTTTGGGGGGATTTTCAGCCTTGGGACTCCCTGAGCCCCTCAGATCACCCAAAATTGTGCGGAATTTTCCCAAAATGTGCGGAATTTGCCCCAATTTCCCAGGACAGTTTCGTGTACGTGTTCGACGGGCTCCCGGCGCTGCTGGACGGGGGAGGGGTGCAGGGGGACCCCGCCCTGATCGGGGCCCTGTGCGGAGGGGGGACCCCCCACAGCCTCAGCCTGGAGGCCAAGTCAGGTACGGGACCCCAAAAACCCCAAAATTCACCCCAAAAATGGAATCGGGGACCCCAAAAACCCCAAAATCCACCCCAAAAACCCCAAAAACCACCCAAAAAACGGACTCGGGGACCCCAAAAACCCCAAAATCCACCCCAAAAACCTCAAAATCCACCCCGGGACCCCCCACAGCCTCAGCCTGGAGGCCAAGTCAGGTACGGGAACCCCAAAAACGGACTCGGGGACCCCAAAAACCCCAAAATCCACCCCAAAAACCCCCAAATCCACCCTGGGACCCCCCACAGCCTCAGCCTGGAGGCCAAGTCAGGTACTGAACCCCAAAAACCCCAAAATCCACCCCAAAAACCCCAAAATCCACCCCAAAAACGGACTCGGGGACCCCAAAAACCCCAAAATCCACCCCAAAAAACCCCAAAATCCACCCCAAAAACGGACTCGGGGACCCCAAAAACCCAAAAATACACCCCAAAAACGGACTCGGGGACCCCAAAATCCCCAAAATCCACCCCAAAAACCCCAAAATCCACCCCAAAAACAGACTCGGGGACCCCAAAAACCCCCAAATCCACCCCAAAAACCCCAAAATCCACCCCAAAAATGGACTCAGGGACCCCAAAAACCCCAAAATCCACCCCAAAAACCCCAAAATCCACCCCAAAAAACCCCAAAATCCACCCCAAAAATGGACTCAGGGACCCCAAAAACCCCAAAATCCACCCCAAAAACCCCAAAATCCACCCCAAAAACCCCAAAATCCACCCCGGGACCCCCCACAGCCTCAGCCTGGAGGCCAAGTCAGGTACGGGAACCCCAAAAACCCCAAAATTCACCCCAAAAACGGACTCGGGCACCCCAAATACACCAAAATCCACCCCAAAAACCCCAAAATCCACCCAAAATCCACCCCAAAAACCCCCAAATCCACCCTGGGACCCCCCACAGCCTCAGCCTGGAGGCCAAGTCAGGTACTGAACCCCAAAAACCCCAAAATCCACCCCAAAAACGGACTCGGGGACCCCAAAAACCCCAAAATCCACCCCAAAAACGGACTCGGGGACCCCAAAAACGGACTTGGGGACCCCAAAAACCCCAAAATCCACCCTGGGACCCCCCACAGCCTCAGCCTGGAGGCCAAGTCAGGTACTGAACCCCAAAAACCCCAAAATCCACCCCAAAACCCCCAAAATCCACCCCAAAAACGGACTCAGGGACCCCAAAAACCCCCAAAATCCACCCCAAAAAACCCCAAAATCCACCCCAAAAATGGACTCGGGGACCCCAAAAACCCCAAAATCCACCCCAAAAACGGATTCGGGGACCCCAAAAACCCCAAAATCCACCCCAAAAACGGACTCGGGGACCCCAAAAACCCCAAAATCCACCCCAAAAACCCCCAAATCCACCCCGGGACCCCCCACAGCCTCAGCCTGGAGGCCAAGTCAGGTACTGAACCCCAAAAACCCCAAAATCCACCCCAAAAACGGACTCGGGGACCCCAAAAACCCCAAAATCCACCCCAAAAACCCCAAAATCCACCCAAAATCCACCCCAAAAACCCCAAAATCCACCCCAAAACCCCCAAAATCCACCCTGGGACCCCCCACAGCCTCAGCCTGGAGGCCATGTCAGGTACGGGAACCCCAAAAACCCCAAAATCCACCCCAAAAATGGACTCAGGGACCCCAAAAACCCAAAAATACACCCCAAAAACCCCAAAATCCACCCCAAAAACCTAAAAGTCCACCCCAAAAACCCCAAAATCCACCCCAAAAATGGACTTGGGGACCCCAAAAACCCCAAAATCCACCCCAAAAACCCCAAAATCCACCCCAAAAAACCCAAAATCCACCCTGGGACCCCCCACAGCCTCAGCCTGGAGGCCAAGTCAGGTACGGGACCCCAAAAACGGACTCGGTACCAAAAAACCCCAAAATCCACCTCAAAAATGGACTCAGGAACCCCAAAAACCCCAAAATCCACCCTAAAAACACCAAAATCCACCCCAAAAATTGACTCGGGGACCCCAAAAACCCCAAAATCCACCCCAAAAACGGACTCGGGCACCCCAAAAACCCCAAAATCCATCCCAAAAACGGACTCGGGGACCCCAAAAATCCCAATATTCACCCCAAAAAATGCATTTTTGGGGCTATTTTTGGCATTTTTGCCCCAATTTTCCTTTTTTTTTTTTTTTTTCCTTGGGAATCTCCGAATTTTGGGGAATTTTTTTGGGATTTTTTCTGGAATTTTTTGGGGGAATATTTCTTCTATTTTGAGGTTTTTTTGCTTTTTTTTTCCGAATTTTTTCTTTGCATTTTTGGGACTTTTTTTGGTCATTTTAGCCCCAAGTTTTCCCGGGTTTTTTTTGGGAATCTCCAAATTTTTTGGGGAATTTTTGGAGGAAATTTTGGGGGAATTTTTGTTCAATTTCCGTGGGGTTTTTTTTTCCTCTTTTTTCCCAATTTGTTTTGCATTTTTGGGGCTATTTTGGCCATTTTTGCCCCGATTTTTCCCATTTTTTTCTTGGGAATCTCCGAATTTTTTGGGGAATTTTTTGGAGGAAATTTTGGGGGAAATTTTTGTTCAATTTTTGTGTTTTTTTCCTCTTTTTTCCCGATTTTTTTTTGCATTTTTGGGCTATTTTGGCCATTTTAGCCCCGATTTTTCCCGGGTTTTTTTTGGGAATCTCGGGAATTTTGGGGGAATTTTTTGGGGAAATTTTTGTTCAATTTTCGTGTTTTTTTTCTCTTTTTTCCCGATTTTTTTTGCATATTTGGGGCTATTTTGGTCATTTTTGCCCCGATTTTCCCCGGGTTTTTTTTTGGGAATCTCGGGATATTTTTGGGGAATTTTTGGAGGAGATTTTGGGGAAATTTTGGGGGAAATTTTTGTTCAATTTTTGTGGGTTTTTTTCTCTTTTTCCCCGATTTTTTTTGCATTTTTGGGCTATTTTGGTCATTTTTACTCCGATTTTTCCCGGGTTTTTTTTTGGGAATCTTGGGAATTTTTTGGGGAATTTTTTGGGGGAATTTTATTTCAATTTTTGTGGTTTTTTTCTTCTTTTTTTCCCTTTTTTTTTTTGCATTTTTGGTGCTATTTTGGTCATTTTTGCCCCGATTTTTCCCGGGTTTTTTTTGGGAATCTTGGGAATTTTTTGGGGAATTTTTTGGGAGAATTTTTGTTCAATTTTTGTGTTTTTTTCCTCTTTTTTTCCCAATTTTTTTTTGCATTTTTGGGACTTTTTTTGGCTATTTTTGCCCCGATTTTTCCCGGGTTTTTTTTGGGAATCTCGGGAATTTTTTGGGAATTTTTGGAGGAAATTTTGGGGAAATTTTGGGTGGAATTTTTGTTCAATTTTTGTGGTTTTTTTCCTCTTTTTTCCCGATTTTTTTTCCATTTTTGGGCTGTTTTGGTCATTTTTACCCCGATTTTTCCCGGGTTTTTTTTGGGAATCTCGGGATTTTTTTGGGAATTTTTGGAGGAATTTTATTTCAATTTTTGTCTTTTTTTTCCCCTTTTTTCCCGATTTTTTTTCCATTTTTTGGCCTATTTTGGTCATTTTTACCCCGATTTTTCCCGGGTTTTTTTTGGGAATCTCGGGAATTTTTTGGGAATTCTCCCCTGACCCTTTTCCCGCTGTTTTTTTAGGGCTTTTGGCGATTTATTACGAATCCAACGGCTCCGAAATTTGGGGGTTCCGGGCGCGGGCGGAGCTCCGGCCCTGCCCCCCCCCACTGCCCCTCCCCCCCCCAGTGCCCGGGGGGCTGCGGGGGAGGGGTCTGTGACCCGGTGAGGGAATTTGGGGCAAAAAACACCGATTTTGGGAAATTGGGAATTTGGGGGGGAAATTTGGACTCTTCCGGGGGGAAATTGGGGAAAAATTGGGATTTTGGGGGGGAAAATTGGAGGAAATGGGGGAAAATTGGGATTTTTGGGGGGAAAATTGGGGAAAAATTGGGATTTTGGGGGAAAAATTGGGGAAAAATTGGGATTTTGGGGGGCAAAAATTGGAGGAAATGGGGGAAAATTGGGATTTTTGGGGAAAAATTGGGGAAAAATGTGGATTTTGGGGGAGAAAATTGGAGGAAATGGGGAAAATTGGAGGAAATGGGGAAAAATTGGGATTTTTGGGGGGAAATTGGGGGAAAATTGGGATTTTCGGGTGGGAAAATTGGAGGAAATGGGAAAAAATTGGGATTTTTGGGGGAAAAATTGGGATTTTTGGGGGGAAAATTGGGGAAAAATGTGGGTTTTGGGGGAGAAAATTGGAGGAAATGGGGAAAAATTGGGATTTTTGGGGAAAAATTGGGATTTTTGGGGGGAAAATTGGGGAAAAATTGGAATTTTGGGGGAGAAAATTGGAGGAAATGGGGAAAAATTGGGATTTTTGGGGAAAAATTGGGATTTTGGGAAGCAAATTGGGGAAGTTTGGGGAGAAAATGGGATTTTTGGGGGGAAAATGGGGAAAATTTGGGGGGAAAAAGGGAATTTTGGGGATGAAATTGGGGGAAATTTGTGATTTTTGGGGGGGAAACGGGGAAAATTCTGGGGAAAATGGAAATTTTGGGGTGGAATCAGGGAAAAATTGGGATTTTGGGGGGGAATTGGGATTTGTGGGGAGGAAATTGGGGAAATTTTGAATTTTGGGGAGGGAAATGAGAAGAAATGAGAATTTTAGTGATGAAATTGGGGGAAAATTGTTATTTTTGGGGGTAAAGTTGGGATTTGAGGGAGAAAATTGGGAGGAATTGGGGAAATCTGGGGTTTTTTGGGGGGAAATTGGGGAAAATTGGGGTATTTTGGGATTTTTGGAGGAAAATTGGGATTTTTTTGTGCAACGATGGGGGGATTTGGGGATTTTGGGTTAAAATGGGGGCAAAATTGGGATTTTTTGGATGAAAATCAGGATTTTAGGGGGAATTTTTTGCATTTTTGGGTGGGTTTTTGAGGGAAAATCAGGGAAATGTGGGGATTTTTGAGATTTTGGTTTTTTGGGGGAATTTCTGACCACTCTGGGATTTTTGGGGTTGCAGGTTCGGGGGGTCTGTGAGTGCCCCGAAGGTTTTGGGGGTCCCAACTGCTCGACCCCCCTGGGGCCGGGGAACATCGTGTGGGAGCAGCTGGTGGGCGACACCCCCGAGGAGGTGAGGGACCCCAAAATCCCAAAAAATCACCCCAAAAATCCATCCCAAACCCCCTGAGGAGAGGGACCCCGAAATCCCCAAAAATCACCCCAAAAATCCCCCAAATCACCCCAAAAATCGCCCCAAAAATCCCCAAAATCACCCCAAAAATCATCCCAAAAATCACCCCAAAAATCACCCCAAAAATCACCCCAAAAATCATCCTAAAAATTACCCCGAAAACCCCAAAAATCACCCCAAAAATCACCCCAAAAATCATCCTAAAAATCACTCCAAAATCACCCCAAAGTCACCCCAAAAATCCCAAAACCACCCCAAAAATTATCCTAAAAATTACCCCCAAATCACCCCAAAAATCACCCCAAAAATCCATCCCAAAACCCCGAGGAGAGGGACCCCAAAATCCCCAGAAATCACCCCAAAAATCACCCCAAAAATCATCCTAAAAATTACCCCAAAATCACCCCAAAAATCACCCCAAAAATTGCCCCAAAATCACCCCAAAAATCACCCCAAAAATCCCCCAAATCACCACAAAAATCATCCTAAGAATTACCCCAAAAATCACCCCAAAATCACCCCAAAATCAGCCCAAAAATCGCCCCAAAAATCCCCCAAATCACCACAAAAATCATCCTAAGAATTACCCCAAAATCACCCTAAAAATCCTTCCCAAATCCCCCGAGGAGGTGAGGGACCCCCAAATCCCAAAAAATCACACCAAAAATCACCCCAAAAATCACCCCAAAAATCCATCCCAAAACCCTGAGGAGAGGGACTCCAAAATCCCCAAAAATCACCTCAAAAACCACCCCAAAATCACCCCAAAAATCATCCTAAAAATTACTCCAAAATCACCCCAAAATCACCCCAAAAATCCATCCCAAACCCCCTGAGGAGAGGGACCCCGAAATCCAAAAAATTCACCCCAAAAATACCCAAAATCACCCCAAAAATCACCCCAAAAATCCATCCCAAAACCCCGAAGAGAGGGACCCTGAAATCCCCAAAAATCACCCCAAAAACCACCCCAAAATCACCCCAAAAATCATCCTAAAAATTACTCCAAAAATCACCCCAAAATCACCCCAAAACCCCATCCCTAACCCCCTGAGCAGAGGGACCCAAAACCCCCAAAAATTCACCCAAAAACCCCAAAAATCCCCCAAAAATCCCCAAATTTCACCCCAAAACCCCGGAATTTGACGGGAATTTTCCCAAAATCGCTGATTTTCACCCCAAAATCCCATCAGGACTCTCCGGGCCGGTTCCTGCGCCGCCTCGGGCACAGCCTCCCCAAATCCCCCAAATTTCACCCCCAAAACCCCCAAAAATCTGCAAATTTCACCCCAAAACCCTGGAATTTTTTGGGAATTTTCCCAAAATCGCCGATTTTCACCCCAAAATCCCGCAGGACTCTCCGGGCCGGTTCCTGCGCCGCCTCGGGCACAGCCTCCCCA